GGTCATAATACACTTCTTTTAGTTCAGTTCACCATTCTACCTTTGGCCTTTAGTTAATTTGCCTCAATATGTATTTCCTTTGTCTGAATGCCAGCTCACGGGCATGCTGGAGAAATGGGTGTGCTTGGAACGGTAGTGAATGCAGCCTGGCTTTTCTATACTGGCTCTGCTCACCCAAGCAATACCGAGCCCCCAGAGCAATAAGGATTCACTGGAACTCTTGACAAGGTGAATATGTTAGCCCCCACTTTATTGCTTAGGTTCCGCTGTTTGTCCTATTGGTGAGTGGAGACATTTTCTTCATAGACTGGCATATATTTGCAGAGAAAATGTAACCTTTTGTTTTTATCCATGTCTTAATAATATCTCCTTTTCCCCCAGTAATTCTTCTTCTCAGATGCCATTAAGCAAATCCTCTTTCTTCATATCCCTGAGCCTTTCAGTTTTATTACTGCTGTTGTTTTAAAAACTGAGTGACATTGTGTGTGTTCTACACAAAGGCATAAGGATCTCTGTGTATTTGTGCTGCTTGTGTGGCTGGAACTCCTCCAGGGAGAGTTCTGGACGAAATGATTTAATTTCCCCTGACTGCTGCTGACCTTGGAAATTTTGGACACAGATGCCTGTGACTGACACTTGTACAGGGGAGAAAAAAGACCCTCATGCAACTTCCATCCTCTAGAAGAAAGCAGTGGGAGATGGTAGCTCTGATGAGGAATAAGAAGAACCAGGGGGAGACACTGGGGACAGTTTCCAGTATTACTTGTGGGGCCTCAGCATTCTTTGTTAGGGACACTGTGGTATTACACTTAGGTATTGGGATGAGTTATATCATGATACAGCAATGAATAAGATGATGGAGCATTCGTGCAAACACAGATTATACTTTTTACATTCATTTGCATGCTTGTAAGGGCTGAAGATTCTAGAGGATTAATGAAAATACTGGCAGCTGTGAGGTTATTTTCATAATAGTGGTCTCTGTTTTTCTGTGATCCTCATCAGATTTACTTGAAATATTTTCAGTTGTCAAAACCGTATTTTCAAAACTGTATATGTGCCGTTATTTACCTCATACATAAACTAAGGAATATTTTGAGACCATTTTAATGTTATGGTTGTCAAGTCACTACTTCTAGAAATCTTTACCAGTCTCTAATGGGTCCTTATATAAAATGTTTTCACATGTATTTGTGGATCTCATGCCTGTGTATGCTTTAAATTAAATATTTACCAAACTGAATGCTTATGAGGAAGCAAGTGATGTCCACTTAAACGGATGCTTAATGTCAGTAGAGACTCTCAGCATCTCCACAGGCCCTGTGTTAAGCTGGATTTCTGCCTTTCCTCTCAAAACAGATAAAAGCATCTGCCCATCCAGCAGGGTGGTGGGGGGTAAGGAGTTCATTTTGTCAGAAATACATCAAATAAAAATGCTCCTTGCCTCTGTGCTTACACAGGTTTGTAAGCACTATAGGTTAACATTCCATTGATGAAACTGGAATGTGCTCAGAATAGTTCTAACTCTGTGGGGGAGTTGGGAAGGGTGATTGTAGTCGGGGGAGAGCAACATAAATATATGTGAATAAACAACCAGCCTTAGCACCTAATTACAGTGATTTCAAAGTGGCGGGGGGAGGGATGTTACACAGTACAGTTAGGCTGGATTGGAGAGTTAGGAAGGGAGGGTTTTTTTGTTTCCTTATCTTTGCAGTGTAGATGTATAATTTTTTGTCCATTATCTGTAAAATTGCTTAGGTTATCCAGTTTGGCCTTCTGTAAAAAATTTTTTACGAGAGATCTGAGCTCAACGATATCCTAATGAAACACAAATTTCAGCTTTTTGGTTGTGGTTATATAATTAAATAGTTCACATCTACCAGTTGCTCATTTTTTTTCTAGTAATATCAATCAATACTGAGCAGAAGTATTAATCACCACTATAAAAGCAGATATTTCCTTAACCTGAATTTCTAGTCACCATCAATCTAGTAGAATAAATTCCAACCACTAAGGTAAAGAATTCTAGAATTATGTCAGCAAATCAAGGATAAATAAAACTCGGCCATTGAAATGGTAGAAGTGATTGAAAAGTATCTTCATCAAATACAGAACAGAATATATTTTACAATGATAGTCATAAATTAAAGGTTTTTCCCTTTGTACGAAGTTAGTCTCACATCCGAAATTGTTTTTAGGAACTGAAAGTTCCAAAGCTTTCTGGTCTATTCAGGTAACAGATTTTTTTAAAGGAAAATGAATAAACATTTTGTTTTTCATACCATGTTTGTTCCTATTTGGTTTCAGAATGTTTACCAGGGATTCATAAAATAGAAGATAACAAAAGCTCCCAGGAAGAAATGGAGAAAGTTAGAATCACAATAGGTAGGATCATGTAATAGAGGATGAGGCTAAGACTCTTGTGCCTTAAGAGAGCGTCTAGGTGTCCACAGTCCAGTGTGGTGACTAGAGCCGCATATGTCTTCCAGGCACTTGAAAGGTGCATGGTCCGGATGGAGATGTGCTGGACCTGCAGAACGCACACTGGATTTCAGTGACTTCATATCAAAGTAAAAATAATCTCGGGGTGCCTGGGTGGCTCAGTCGTTAGGTGTCTGCCTTCGGCTTGGGTCATGATCCCGGGGTCCTGGGATCGAGCCCCACATCAGGCTCCCTGCTCCGTGAGAAGCCTGCTTCTCCCTCTCCCACTCCCCCTGCTTGTGTTCCATCTCTCACTATGTCTCTCTCTGTCAAATAAATAAATAAAATCTTTAAAAAAAAAATAATCTCAATATCTTTTTCATATTGGTTATTTGTTGATAGGATGTTTTGTATATTTTTAAAGTTAAATAGGAAATGTTATTAAAAATAATTTCATCTGTTTTTCCCTTTTTAATGTTGCTACTAGAAAATATGAATGTACATAAGCTGCTCTTAGTTGTGATTCATGGTCTTTTTGTGACCCCGTGCTGTCTGGGAGGAGGTAGGTTTGATGTCCTCTTGTGGGGGTGGAGTGGCTCCACGAGTGCCTGTATCTGAGTAGCGAGCTTGGCTGGGAGGTAAGCTGAGAGCATGCCCAGAAGTGGACCAAGAGGCGCCTCCTCAGCAGTTTGTTTTGAAGCTCATCCTATATCTATGTGAATGGGTAATTAAAATTTGTTTGAAAATAGAAAAATATGAGATGTATATATTTTTAAATTAATACATAAGGTGCTTTTTAGCAGGGAAGAAAGATTAAGCATACATAAATATTGAGGACTATTATGGAAGGTACTATTTTGTCCAGACAAATGGAGACTTGGTCTCTTTGTTCATTGTCTTCCTAATTTAGTAAGGCAAGGAGTATCCTCTTAAAATATCTATAGTTAACCTATTAATTAATTGAGATTATTCCCCACGCTCTGCTTTAATTATCTTTGGTAAATAAAATCTTCAATAACTAGTACCTACGAAATTAATCTAGAAAATGTGTAAGTAAATACTAAATAGTGTGTCATTCTTTAAAATAAGCCCTACTTATCTCTAAGTTGGGATGAATATGTATGAAGTACATATCCTTGTTTGCTGTGGCTCCTTAAGGAGAAAAGTGTATTTAATTGAGTCTTTCTACTTAATGATTTCAGTAGTCTAATGATTTAAGTCAACATGCATCTTATTTATGCATATATGTATGTATTCATGTACTTATTTATCTCACATACACTTATTTAGCACTAACTTTGTGCCAGGCTCTCCAAGAAAATCAGTACATGTTTATCTAAACATAACTGACACATAGAGCTTACTCTGAGTCTGGCCCTGTTCTAAATGCCTTGTGTTTATTAATGCATTTCTTCCTATAGCTGTGAGATAGGCAGAGTTATCCATGTTAAACTGAAGCATAGAGGAGTTAGGTAACTTAATCCAAGTTCACACAGCTCTTAACGTAGAATCGCTGGGAACCAGACCTTGCGGCCTGGTGGCTTGAGTCCATGCTCTTATTTAAGCTGCGTAAAATAGTTTGTTCTACTTACTTTTGTCTTCCGGGTGCATTAGCTGGACTTGCCCAGACGGCGATGTTGTCTTTTCTGGGGTGCATAGAAGCTTTTCATAACTACCTGGGAATTCTGTCATGAGAGCGATGGGGGTCATTTAAGAGCTTATTTCCAGAGGCAGGGTATTTATTACAGCTCTTTGTGAATTTATGATTGGCCATGTGGAATAGTGGGTGGGATTATATGATAATTATGCAAAATAGCCTTACATAACAGCCCTAGTTAATATTAATACTAAACTCAGGCTGTGACCTGGAAATGTTGTGGATATGCAGTTGTTTTTCCTCCCTTCCTTATCCTTTATACATGGTTCAGATTTTGTCATTTTGTCATTTCATTATCATCACTACCATAAAGTCTATGAAGTTCTTTGGTAGTTTGGCTTTTTGAGAGATCATTTGGATGAAGAATATCCATCCATAGATCCTCAGAATTCTGTAGGTGTGGCCCGAAGCTATTCTGTTGAACTAATTTGCTTTCATGCTTTATAAGAGATTGTGATATAAATTTGGTCTTAAGCTTTCATTTTCATTTCTCTGAATGGTCCTTGAAAGGAGTACTCTATAATCTAATGGACCAAGGACGAATCAAATTAGATTGCCCCCGTGCCCTTTTTTTTTTCTTTGAAAATGTGTTTGAGAAACAAATAATATGGGAAATTATATGTATTTTGCTTGCTTACCTGGTTACAGGAATGGCTGTGATTAAAGCTTTATCATGATTTCAAAATACCCCTCTCCCCTCTCTTTTAAATAAATATATTTTTGTCATATAAAACAGCGGAAAGGTCAACAACTTGACATAGTAGTCCTCAAAATTGAACCTTCTCATTTCAAAGGTGTCCTTTAGAATTTTATGTCTGAAAGGGCTCCTGATTACATATATCCATACATGCAATAGATATTTACTATATACCTTCCTACTCCTGTACAGGCCCCGTGACAACAGTGTTAGTGAGTAAAAGGCATGACCTGCCTTCTCCTGGAGCTTCCAATCTATGTGTTCCAATATACTGTAGTAAAGGTAAGGTAGGAATTACAAAGGCCTAAGAAAAACGCCATATAATACACCATATTTGGCTATCTTGGAATTCGAGAGTTCAGTGACTGTAAGGTTCTAGTCTAGTGCTCTAAATTTTCCAGGTGAAAAAGTGAGATCCAAAGTTGGGATGTGACTCTTTTGTGAGAGATAAGTGGAACCAAGCAAGAGCCCAGGGCTCCTTGGGGTCATTGCTGTAAAGAGAGATCAGAGATCAGGCCCTTTGTGTTATGTACATGTTAAATACTTGTATACTAAACATTCCAGGAGTATCTTTGCTTGATAAATGAGGAATCTGTCTGCATTAACCTGCTACTTTTTAACTCCTACCATTCCGTATGTACTTAACCCACAAGCACAAAACTAAAGTTATGATTTATTCAAAGACCTTGCTAAGATTTACAGTTTTAATTGAAATTATTTAAATTGTGGCTCTTTCTTAAGTGAACGACAAGTCAGTGATGAGTATCTAGAGATAGCTTCAAGGTACAGAAACAGATCTCAGAATCCACAGGAGAGGGACATAAATGCTAATTATAAATTGACTTTAATTCTTGGTTTGTCATGGCTGCCTGCAGGTGTGTGTCTTGGCTGTGGGCTGTTCTCAGGGCCTCATTTGTATTTGAGGTTTACTTTAATAATATTGCCTCCCAGAAGAGCTCTTTTTTAATCTCTTACTTTCAGTTCTTTTCCTAGATAAAGGAAGAAAGTAATTGGGAGATGAATGTAATTATTGATTCTTTAGGTTATTGAAGATTAAAGTTTTGTTTGTTTGGTCTTCCCACTTACTTTCCTGGAAGTCAGTTTTGGGAATACGGTGCCTTTTGGCCTTCTGAACTGGAAGATGGACAGGTGTTCATTTTTGTTAATTATCATTCCCCCCCCACCGCCACCACCATCACCAACACCATTACTCACTTGGCCTTCTGGATGAATTAATGCTCTCTGTATAGAGAGCTAATGTTACTCTCTGTATTTGCATTGAAGAACTGCTGTCCCACTCCGGTCTGCTGAGGTAGAGGCTTGGCTTTGGCAGGTGCAAGGTAACCTTGAGATTCACTTAGTTTATTTATAAGCAAGGATGAATGTTTCCATTGTAATAGAATTGTGGGCTTGAGCTTGTTAAGTGGATCAGGTGAGAACACAGATATGTGGACCTCTTTCCTCGCTTCCACATAATGTTTGACTTCCCACCAAATGCCCCCAATTCCACCATATTCTGTGGCTATGCCCTTTTTAATCTTAGCCCTGAGTTCCTTTACATTCCATGGTATGGGCACCCTTGAGGTTTAGCTCCTGTACACTGCCGATTAACTGTGTGATTTTGCCATGACTTAAACAGATATCCAGGGGCTCTCCTGGCTCTCTTCCTGCTTCTATAAGTTAGTTGAGGGCCTTGCCAGTATAAAGAGTTCCAGGGTGTGTCACTGCAGACAACTTGGGGACAAGCTTTTCCTCTCCGAGGGATTTGAGTCAGCCATCCTTCTGTTTGTAGCCCCTCTCGTTCCTTGTCCTGTCTTTGGCCTGTATTAACTCTGGCCAGCTGCATACAGGGAAACTATTAAAACCTCTGTGAAAGAGGGACTAGTTCTTAAACCCCATCCCCGCCCCTAGTCTGATCATATCCCTCATAGGTACCCATCTCCTTAGCTTTAGACAAGTTGATGAGACCTAGCAATAATTCCGGTATATACACCTGACTTTAGGGGCCTTCTGTATATTCTTTTCTTGTCTGTCTTGTTGTGTTATGACAGTACTTCTCATAAGAAAGATTTACCTTACCTTCAGTCCTTATTTGGCTTTCTCTCTGGTGGCTCCCTGTTGCTTTTAAACCATGATTTAGATGGAGCGTTCAAGTGAGTGATCTGACAATCCGAATTTTGAGGCAGCTGTCCTTTTCAAAATTTCTGTATTCATTTTTAAAATGATTTTTTGAGGAACAGACAGTTTGAAAGGATTTTAATCGTGCTCACCAGCACTGTGGCTGAACTTGATGTCTATGCAATATGCTGTCTTTAAGCTGATCAGTGGGAACTAAAGACATGTTTAGAAAACGAGATTCTAGACTTTCTGACTATGAGGATGGCTTCAGGATGCTTGATCCAGTGTATTTTCTTCCATGCAGATATATAAACCTTGGCCATGGCCGAAACCAGGCATGTACCTTAGTTCTGTAAAACAGACACTACGTGTTTCTTCTTAAATGTTTTCATAAAGATCATTGCTTAGTATGTCCATATCCATATAATGTATATTAGGATTAGACAACTTTCTCATTTTAAGTTCCTAACTTCCTAACCTATTTGTACACATACCCTTTTCTTCATTTGAAATTTAAAGTTTTTCTAGTCCATTCAATCCTTTTGTTTCCCCAAATTTCCTAACTTCAACTGTATTGGTCCTGTGTGTAGTTAGCTGTGTCATTTTATTTACATACTGTGATACTTGTCCCAAGCATCCTTGTGACTGTCATCTTGTTTGTTCTCCTTGATGTTTCTTAACTTGGTTCTGGAACAGTTATGGTAGACTGAAATTACATGCAGTTTTTCTGTAGAGGCATTTCATATTTTAAAAAACAGATCTTCAAGGGAGTCTGAAAAGGTTAAAGAACTGCTTTACATAATGTTATCTAGGACTCCTGCAGGAATATTGCCAACCTCTTTTCTGTCAAGTGTAATATCCGTGGGACCTTAAATGTTTGGCCATTTGTCTTTCTCTTTTGGTATCAGTCTTTTAATTTTTTTTTTTTTTTATTTGATAGAAAGACAGCAAGAGAGGGAACACAAGGGCGGAGTGGGAGAGGGAGAAGCAGGCCTCCTGCCGAGGAGGGAGCCTGATGCAGGACTCGATCCCAGGACCCTGGGATCATGACCTGAGCCGAAGGCAGACGCTTAACGACTGACCCACCCAGGCGCCCCAGTCTTTTAAATTTTTAGAGCAGTTTTAGGTTCATAGCAAAACCAAACAGAAAATAGAGAGTTCCCATTTATGCCCTACCTCTCCACAAGAACAGCCTCCCCCACTGTCACCATCCCCCACCCGAGTGGTACATTTGTTATAATTGATAAACCTTCATTGATATATCACCACTTAAAGTCCATAGTTAAATAGGGTTCACTCTCGGTGTTCTACTTTCTCTGGATTTTGAGAAATGTATGATGGCACATGTCCATCATTATTGTATGATACAGAATAGTTTCCCTTCCCTAAAAAATCCCCTGTGCTTTTCCTTTTCATCCCTCGCTCCTCCCCCTGACCCCCAGCAACTGCTGATCTCATTGTCTTTATAATTTTGCCTTTTCCAGAATGTCATATAATTGGAACCATACAATATGTCAGTTTTTTTCAGGTTGGCTTCTTTCTCTTAGCAATATGCATTTAAGATTCCTCTGTCTTTTTATGGCATGATAGCTCATTTCTTTTTAGTGCTGAATAATACTCCATTATCTGGATGTACCACAGTTTGTTTATATGTTCATCTACTGAAGGACACCTTAGTTCCTTCCAGATTTTGGCAGTTATGATTAAAGATGCTATGAACATGCTTATCCAGGTTTTTGTGTAGACATAAGTTTCAACTCATTTGGATAAATACCCAGGCGTGTGATTGTTGGAACGTATGGTAAAATATGTTTAGTTTTATAAGAAACCACCAAACTGTCTTTCAGAGTAGCTATGCTGTTTTGTATTCACACCAACAGTGAGTGAGAGTCCTTGCTGCTCCACATCCACGTCAGCATTTGTTGTCAGCATTTAGATTTGGGCAATCCTAATGTAGTGGTAGCTCAGTAGTTTTATAATTCATATTTCCCCAGTGATATACAATGGAGAACATCGTCACCATCTGAAGGTCTTCTTGGGTGAGATGTCTAGGTCTTCAGCCCATTTTTAAATCGGTTGTTCATTTTCTTACTATTGAATCTTAAGACTTCTTTGCATATTTTGGTTAGCAGTCCTCTGTCAGATAAGGCTTTTGCAGATGTTTTCTCCCAGTCTGTGGTTCAGCTATCTTTCAATTGTTGTTTTTTAAAATGTTCAGGCCAGGGGCGCCTGGGTGGCTCAGTCGTTAAGCGCCTGCCTTCGGCTCAGGTCATGATCCCAGGGTCCTGGGATCGAGCCCCGCATCGGGCTCCCTGCTCCGCGGGAAGCCTGCTTCTCCCTCTCCCACTCCCCCTGCTTGTGTTCCTGCTCTCGCTCTCTGTCAGATAAATAAATAAAATCTTTAAAAAAAAAAAGTGTTCGGCCCGGAAAATCAAACTGGGCGAGGTGATCTTTCACAACCGGGCAGGCACATGTGGCTGCTAGTGAGCTGTGTTGCAGACTCTCAACCTTAACTTCCTTGATTCTTTATTTGCAGGTCAATGTGACTGTGGACTACATTAGACCAGCCAGCCCAGCCACAGAGACGGTGCCTGCCTTTTCAGAGCGGACATGTGCCACTGTCACCATTGGAGGAATGTGAGTGTCCTGGCCAGCAGGGACTAAGCCAGAGCTGCAAGTTGTCCTCAGTCACCTCTCTCCTTTCTTTTCTCCCTGATGTGCTTTCTGTTGCTCTTAACACAGTGCTGCTTAATTATTATGTCTGTGTAGTACTTTACATTTGCAAAGCATTTTATAATCATTCATTAGCTAATCATATTCTTTTATTGTTTAAGATTTACTGGGCTCTGTGTGCTTGGCACTATATAGCATACATTATTACTATTAATAATGCCATTTATTGTCAGGCCCTAGGTACTATCCAACATTAGGTGGAAAAATTATCTGCACATTCGTTTAGGAAGTTCAATTATAGACAACCCCCCTCCCCCCCAAAAAAGGGAGGGCAGGGGAAGAAGAAGGGTTCATTGGACATTTTCTTTATACAGATGTATGTTTTCATTAGCTGATGGGGCCTTTCTCTTTTGTGCTGGCCATATCCTGTTCTGTTCCAAAGTCTCTTGGGAACTTGGTTGATGAACAGTCTTTCAAGGGAGGTATCTGACAGGGGAAGGAGGAAGCCTGCAGCCTGCTGGGCCATGCTTCCACAATGAATATTAAAACAGTCAGTCAGTCCCCAGTAGCAGTTCTTACTCTGCGTAAAATATACCAATGTGATAATTGTTTCCATTTCTTTTTTTTTTTTTTTTAAAGATTTTATTTATTCATTTGAGACACAGAGATACAGAGAGAGAGCATGAGCAGGGGAGAGGCAGAGGGAGAGGGAGAAGCAGGCTCCCCGCTGAGCCAGGAGCCCGATGTGGGGCTCGATCCCAGGACCCTGGGATCATGACCTGAGCTGAAGGCAGATGCTTAACCATCTGAGCCACCCAGGCGCCCCAGTTGTTTCCATTTCTAGTTAACAATCTTAAGTGCTGTTTGTTACCAAACTGTTATTTTTCTTCTCTTTTAAGGGGGCATAGTGGAGGAGAAGAAAAGAATAGGTTTCCCATCAAAACAGGGATTGTCTTATTGAAAGTACAATGGAGCCCATTAGGAGAAATACCTCTAAGTGACAGTGTGCCTTTGAAAGGAAAGAAGATCTTGCAGCTAATGTACCTTCCAGAAGCTCTCATACCAAAGAGGAACCTTTTCTGCTCGTTCGCTATCACACTTCGGCAATAACTATTTTTGGTCACTGTTATCACTCCCTGTATTTACATAAACATTACTGTTCACACAACAGTTAGAGACTTTGTGGAGAGGAACTCAATACAGGCTTTTGTTGTCACTACCTTAATACCATCACAAGTGACAGGCTTCATTAGAAGTAGAATCTTGACAAATCAGATAATATTTTTGACATGGGAGAGACTAGGACATATTTTGGTCATTTTCCTGTCTGTATAAGTCGCAATAATGATTATTATCACTTTGTCACTACTTCTTAGGAGCTGGATGCATGCTACTCTATTATGGAGAGCTGGAAAGTTAGTATTCCTATATATTACAATTTTAACTGTCACAAACAAGGAGTCATATCAGTAAATAACTGCTCCTGCTATCTAATATACTGGTACAAGCAACAGTGTCACTACTGTAAAAATCTACATCTTTATTTTTGTAGATGGTTTCCACCCATGTTTAACAGTCCGTTAGAGTAGGTTATTTCATTTAGTTACCACTGAGGTATATTCTTAAAGTAAATTCACACTGCTTAAAATCTACATAACCTGAGTGTGTTACAGAGCTTTTTCTTTTTATAGGACAATTTGAAACAGCTAGTTTAAAAATTCCATAGTAGGGTGTTGTGGGCATGCTCCATGCCACGAAACCTTGAGGTTCTGACTGTGTTGATCATGGCTTTGATGGAGATTACTCCTTCAGGCTACCATGCCTCTCTGCAAAGGTTAGGTGACTCTCTGTTCCAACCAAGGTTTTGGTCAGATTCTCAAGCCGCCTTCATAAGAAAGTATCAATCTTTTTTTCAGTTTGGTTGGTTAACACAAGTTGATGGGTCTTAATTGACAGAAAGCATTGACTATCTGTATACTTCAGGTTCATGCCTGGGATGATAACCTTGACCTTTCTCTACCTCTCAGTTCTTTTTTTTTTTTTTAAGATTTTATTTATTTGACAGAGACACAGCAGAGAGGGAACACAAGCAGAGAGAGTGGGAGAGGGAGAGGGAGAAGCAGGCTTCCCGCCGAGCAGGGAACCTGATGCAGGGCTCGATCCCAGGATCCTGGGATCATGACCTGAGCCGAAGGCAGACGCTTAACCATCTGAGCCACCCAGGAGCCCCTACCTCTCAGTTCTTGTAACTGGATTATAAGAAATACTATTTTTGTATGATTTACCAAAGTATTTACCAGTGTATTGATTCTTCTAGATACCTAAATTGTCTCCTTGATTAGACCAGCCTAGCAGGGTGCCTGGGATGCATTATGAGTTTCTTCATAGAGTTGTTTCTACTAAACTAGACTTTGTGAAACAACTGCTGGGCTGCCTTCAGGAGAAATAACTGAGATTTACGGATACTTTTGAGACAAACTCTCACTAGACCGTAAGCTCCCTAAAGATAGGGATTTTTGTCACATTCCCTGTTGTAGTCTTAGTATTCAGTATATGGTAGGAGTTTCAATAAATTTTTGAATTATTTGTTTATTATATTGCAGAGTGTCCCTTTATGAAGCTTAACAGGGAATACTGGGACACTTGTTTCTGTTGAGCCCTGATTTTGTTGTTATGTAATCAATACTGGAGAAGTTGTATTGGATAGTTTTCCTTTTTTGTTTGGTTATTGGGACGTCCTTGCCAAAGATAGGCTGTTTCTGGAAGAAGAACATTTTAATGCTGCTTATGCTTTTTATGTTCCATTCGTACTCATAGCTTCCTTGCCTTGATTTTACTTTTACTTTTGCCTTGATTTTGTTTTTATTCTTGTGAATTTTCTGTACTTTTGCAAATCATTCCAAATAATATTATAAAAAAGTTGAATGAATAAATAATGTTCAAATACTCAGCTTTATGGTCAGAATTTAGGTATACTAACAGCCTTTTTTCTGATGTAATGGTTAATAATTCAAAAACACTGTCTAGAGAAGGGATTTTTTTTTTTAATCTAAAATATTTTCATTTCATTTTAAACATAAAAATGTACAAATATTTCCAAATCTTTGATATATGGGCAGAGTAGGTTAACTATTTCATAACCTGATAAATTGCATAACTTCCTCTTTAGAATAAGTACTTAAAAACACTAATTAATGAAACCCTAGATTTTTGTGATTTACATCACCCTCATTTATTTTGTAGCCATTTGAAAGCCATTCATCTTATTAAACCTTTTAAAAGTATTCATCTGTTTTCATAAACACATTTTTTTATGTACTCCTTTTTCAATTATTAATAAAATATTTAATGGAGTACATAATTAAAACTAACAAGGACAACAAGTATAAATAGTTATGGGATCAGAAACAAATGGCTCAACAGGTTGGGGCAGAAGTGCACAGGTATGTCTGAGTGGCGCTCATTCATTCTGATTGGCATCAGCTGAAATCCTGGAATGTACAGGTCAGGTCAAGGAAGGTCATTTAGGAGAGCTCCTGTAGTAATGCATCATCTCTCTGAAAGACAGTCTTTGTTCAAGCTGGTAGAAATGTTGCAGAATTAAGAAGTCATCCAATCCAAATTATGCCTATCAACCTCTGTAGGCTTACACCAAAATACGGGCTTTTATAGCATCTAGAGGCTTTTCCCGTTCCAAGGATCAGCTGGGCTCCTCTAGCTATGGAAAAGCGTGTCTCAAGCTGCTGATCACAGGGTAATAAGGAGGGGGAGGCAGATGAGATGGAGTCTCTTGCAGTTATATCAGAGCAGATTTTTTGGTGTATTTCACATGTCAAACTGTGTGAATTGTCTGTATCCTCAATACGGTTAAGTCTAGTCCTTCTGTTTTTCTTTTTTGTGTAGGGGAGGGAGTTGAGTCACAGGATCTCTGTGAGGTACCTCTGGTGTGACAGTCTTCTCTTCTTATCTCTTGCCCTCTAGAGAATCAATGAAAACGAGGTTCATCATTTCTCTAATAGTTAAAATTTTTTTCTTGATTAACTTCACTGTAGAGTTGGCAAGAGTTGTTATCTGTTAATCAAAACAGTTTAAATAAAAAATAAAATGATCAAACTTAGAGTTGTTTCTCATTCTCTGGCTCCCGGGCTGGGAATTAGCTGAGCCTTTTAGGCTTGGTTTGTGACATGAAGCTGTCAAGATGGCTCTTCCTGTTAATTACTTTTTATTGTATTTAAGACACTTAAATAACTCTTCTTGTGATTTAGTCTTCTATGTAATTAGCTTCAGTGATTAAAATCTCATTCTTTCTTTATTGTCAGAGCCTTCTTGAGGAGTGAGATTTTTCTGGGGTGACCTTTCTTGTGCTGGACTTCCCAATTACTTGAAGCTCCAATTTGGCAAACCCATATTATAATGTATTAACTGGTTGCTCACTCTTTCTGCATGTCACCTTTTTAAAGAAAGGTGTTAAAATTTGTTCACATTTATAAGGGGGCATCTAAAAAATACAACTTTAGGGTTAAGCCTCATATACTCACATTCACATTTAGCACCACTCCAGCCCTGGAAAACTGTAACAGATCCAGCAGTATCACTTAAGATATTTCCCCAGTGTTTCTCATGTGAAGTATTTCACAATGGTGGGAGACCATTGACAGGACCTGTTTTTGGAAAGAATGACATAGAGATGAAACTGTAGAATAGGAATAATTGGAAAATGGCCTGTTTTTGTACAATGTCATATTTTGAGGGGGGGTGATTTTTTTTTTCCTAACATTCTTTTTGAAACCATGTTTCCCTCTACTACTTTCCTACCTTGCCCTTTGGCTGTCTGCTCCTTTGATGCCCACACAAGTATGAGGCCTTGCTGCCAGAGGTATTGTCGAAGATCTTTTGGACTTGGGACATCTTAGTTACCTCTTTGTTCTAATGACAGTCATCCAGCAGCCACAAAGCCATCCTTT